GCCATATTGTAGGACAAGGCCAGGTGAAACCTGTAATGGCCAAAGTAGAAGCTATCCAAGCTTTCCCTATTCCTGCTGATCGGAAACAACTCCGAAGATTTTTGGGAATGTCTGGATATTATAGAAAGTTTTGCGAAAATTTTTCTGTCATTGCCAGTCCTTTAACAAACCTCCTGAGAAAGAACGTCCGATTTACTTGGACGGATGAATGTCAGAAAGCCTTTAACCAAATTAAGCAGATATTATCTAGCTCCCCCATTTTGATGGCTCCTGACTTCGGAAAACCTTTTAGGTTAGCTATTGACGCCAGTGACACAGGTGTTGGGTCAGTCCTTTACCAAGAAGATAATTTCCAAGTAGAGCACCCTATTTGTTTCTTTTCCAAGAAATTTAATAGACATCAAAGAAATTATTCTACTGTGGAAAAAGAATGTCTTGGGTTGATTCTTTCTATACAACACTTTGATTTTTATATCAGTGGGTCCAGATGGCCACTGGTTGTATTTACTGACCACAATCCCCTTACATTTATCCACAAAATGTCTGGCAAGAACCAACGACTTCTCAGGTGGAGTTTATTTTTACAAGAGTACAACCTAGACCTTAAACACATAAAAGGCAGCGAAAATGTTATCGCCGATGCCTTATCTAGATTGTAAAAAGTATTTTGATGTATATTTTTTTTTATATATATCATGATAAATACATTCTGTAATGTAAATATCATTTTTGTAATTATTCTAAAAAGATTTCCATTTCGTGGAAATGTAAACTTTTTATTTTTAGGAGGGAGGTGTTACGTATCTAGGCATTGTTACCTAGATACTATTTTTTTTTCTTGACCTGTAGGTTGTCTGCCCCTTGTGTAATAAGTTTTTTTATTTTATTTTTCACGGCGAGTCAAGCCACACAGACAGTGACCGGTCCTTGACCTATGTGTGTACCTCTGGTTGAAAGGAGGGTGTTTTTTTTTTCTTCTGTCTCTTTGAAGAGCGTTCTAGATCTGGGTGTTGATGACTTATTCTGTTCTAGAAATTACTAGATTTGTCTTGATATCGACGCGCGGTATATTATATAAAGACCGCCCGTGTAACGTTGACGGACAGACATACGGAGACAGCCGTGAGACAGAATAGCGGAGACATTGCGTGACCCGTGCGTGGTATACCAATTGATCGTGTAAGTTAAGATTTTTCTTTTTTTCAAGGCCTTGCTTGTATTTGTAATTATATTTTCAAACTCTTGTATTGTAATATTTTTACATGCCATTTTTGTAAAAGGGTTTTGGTCAACCCTTCCATTTTGTATTGAGTAAATGTTTGTTTTTTCTTGCTTTATGTGATTCAGTTAAAAGTACTATTCGAGTTATATTTTATTAAACATTAAGTTGATATTTTACCTTCCGATTTCTTGTGTCATTTTTTTTTGTTATTCATTGTAAGTCTCTGATTAAATTCAGACTTAAGATAAGTGACACAACTACCTTTTTCTCTTGTCACGTTCCCCTAGGCAAGCCATTTAAAAGTAGAATTCAATTTGTAATACGTGACATTGTGAATAGCTTTTTCAAGTTCTGAATTAAAGTAATTGTTTTAGACGAAGAGAAGTTTCTTCATTGAATACAGTAATATACTTAGATCGACTTAGCGATAGACAACTTCTAGATGATCAACTGGCAACAATTTGAATGATCGTATTATCAACTAGATCTAGCTACTCCTATACGATCATCTTATTAAAAGAAGATTTCAGGATCCTCGGCAATCACGATCATTGTTAGTGTGATGTAGACTAAGATAATCTTCAACGTGACATCTATCATTGCATCTTCATAGACATCTGACATCCACTAATTGATGATTGTGATAAGGGCTTATATTATTGTTACGTTTTTCTCTACCAGGCCTTCTGTAAAAACTGCTAAATACAGCACATATAACACGAGAACTTGACAACAAGAGTTTCAATAAACAATGTGGCGGTTTAATGTCAGTACATCAACTGCCAATAAAACACTTTTGGCTTCACTAACTTCAAATGCTTTAAAACAATAGAACTGCCTACTAAACACTGCAAGTCTTCCTCTGTCTACTTCTAAAACTCGTACAGCTACATACTCGAGGACTCACTTTCTACCACACCGTCCCTACTGCCAAGCTGTCCTGGACTCAACTGCCCTTTCTTATACATCAGCGGTTCTCAACCTTGTAGGCTCGGCGACCCCTTTTACAATCCCCACTCTGCCACGACCCCCCCCCCCCCCGCGCACATACATACAACAACAGAAGAATAGACAATAACAATCCATTTTTTCTATGGTCTTAGGCGACCCCTGGCAAATCGTCAATCGATCCCCAAGGGGATCGCGACCTACAGGTTGAGAACTCCTGTTATACATTGTCTCTCGTCCGTGAAGGATTTCGATCACATGACCATAACACGGGTCATATTTGCGTGTACTAGCAGTACTGTCCTTGTCTATCGACATCCGCTGACCCGTGTGATTGGCCTGAGTCGCGTGTGTTAGTAGTCCGCACACACATTAACTCTTTCTCTCCGTAATTATTTACCATAGTCTGGTGGAATCAACGTTGGTATCGTCAGTTAGGAGAGAAAGAGTTAACCCCTATCAGTCCGCCTCTGGAGTTACAAGAATATTCTAGAGAAGTAAGGGCAAATATTATACTTATAATAATGATTCGTCGTACAAATATTTGTGTCAAGATACTTTTACCTTTGCTTATCTTTAAATATACGGCATTCCGAATCAACTCCATCTTTTTTACAACCATAATTTACTTACATACAAGTGTGCAACCTTATATATTATCATCATGACGCGAAAAGATAAGGCTATGTTTCTTGTTTCATATTAAGTGACCAATAAGTTAATCAATTAGTGGTAATTAATTTATTTTGTTTTGTTTAAAAAGGGAGCTTATTCCTGTAGTAATGAGATACAATGCAGCAATTTCGCGGTTCTTGCGCGTATATACGCTTTGATTTTTAAAAATATTTTTAAAAATGTATTGTTTAATAGATGTGATCATTTTCAATTATTATAAATTGAACATCATACATACACACACAAAAAAGAATGTCAAAATTCATGTGTACTAGGGAGACTCAGGGGTTGGGGGGGGGGGGTAGAAGTTCAGCACTGGGCAAATAATGATATGAAATAAAAAATTTAAAAAAAAATTTGTTTCCCATGCCGGGAATCGAACCCGGGCCGCCTGGGTGAAAGCCAGAAATCCTAACCACTAGACCACATGGGAGACACATTTGTTATGGTGCGTAATCTTGAATTTTTTATGTGCTGACTTTTACCTGGTGAGGAATGGTCGTTCGTATGTCTAACAATAAGCTCTAACACCGTCTGAACAAAAATATTCATAGAGTTACCGCTCCTTAGCAAACGGTAAAGGTGTCAAGAATGGAAACCACCAGCGAGCGTTGTCGACACAGACACTTGCAAAATTATCAATCTTCCCCCCCCCCCCCACCCCGTCTTCGGGAATACAAGATTAATTTTTCAATATGGACTTTACGAAATGAATATTTCATTATCTATCCGTCTGTTCAATCATATTATCGACATGTCTGTTCTGTTGTATAATCGACATGTATGTTCTGTTGTATTATCGATATGTATGTTCTGTTGTATTATCGATATGTATGTTCTGTCGTATTATCGATATGTATGTTCTGTTGCACGGTCAATCTGCTGTTCTATATATCTAATCTATTTGTAAAAAATATCGAAGGGATTCTTTTTTTTTTCAGTCCTACATATAGGACTAGTAATTATATTAGCAATTACAATGTAAAAGCTGCCTGTCGTGTGGTTTGCGCGTTGAACTGTCGTTTGGATTTATCGATGGTCCCGGGTTCAAACCCTGCCCGCTCCCATCCCCCGTCGTCCTGCGGGAGGTTTGGACTAGGAAGTAAACTATCTTCAACTCTGAAGGAACATCCGAAACTTGTCAAACATTTTACAAACAACAAACATTCTCTTATCTTATATAATACAAACGCTAAAGAAGATGATTACGTCCTACGCGTCATGCATTCAGTCATGCATATTAACCAATGACTTAAATTCTGCCAAGTCACTGGTTTTCCTGGCTAGCTCAGGCAACCCATTCCATGCTCTAATAGCACTAGGGAAGAAGGAGTATTTGTACAAATTTGTCCTAGCATATGGGACGAGGAATGTGCCTTTATCTTTGTGTCTTTCAGAGTATTTTATTAAATTTTGTGTTTCTATTTGAAGATTATGGTTCAGTGTTTTATGTATAATTGCTACTTTACTTTTGAGTCTTCTGTCCTGATAGCTTTCTAAAGCCTTGACCAACGAAAATCAACATGCATTACCAAATATTATCATAAATCACCAATTATCATAGCACATCACTAAATATCATTATAAATCATCAACTGTCATCAAACATCACCAAATATCGTGAAACATCAAATAACATCACACGTCACTCTATATCAAGAATATGCATTGCCGTAACAACACTGCAACAGAAGATAATATAACTTTAATCTTGTTATTTTATTTTGTTTAAAGCTGATAATTATATCAAGAAATTTAACAATGAGAAATATAACAATGAAAAGTATAACACTGAAAAAATGTACAATGAGAGATGTAACAATGGGAAATGTAACAATGATAAATGTAACAATGAAAAATTATTATAGGAAATATAAGAATGGAAAATATAACAATAAAAAAAAACAAGAACTGCAATAATTAAGAAATAACAAATACCCATAAGAAGCATGTTGCTAAAGATTCAATAACAACATAAAAAAGTCAGAAAGAAATGGCATTAAAAAATTCATTCCAAAAGATAAGACAAGTCGTAAAGTACAAAGATTAGATGTCGCATGTTATCTACAGCAATTATCGCTCTAGAGCAGCAGTTCTCAACCTTTTATGCTCGGCGACCCCTTTTACAATCCCCCACTCTGCCGCGACCCCCCCCCCCCACCCAACACACATACAGCAATAGAAGAATAGACAATAACAATCCATATTTTCGATGGTCTTAGGCGACCCCTCGCAAATCGTCAATCGACCCCCAAAGGGATCGCGACCCACAGGTTGAGAACCCCTGCTCTACAGTAATCCCATTTGCTATATGTCCATGCTCGTTGGCTATTCAGATTCAGAGCCAAAAATCTCATCTGCCTGTCAACAACAATGACGCAATTATTAAAAGCAAATGTCCCCCTGCAAAAACTCTAGTCGATGATCATTTTTTTACGCACACTTGTGAACAGTCGTTCTTAATTTGCATTTCCTTGCGTCCGTTAGAGTCGTCGCCCCTAATGTGGTTTATTAATCGTAAAAAGATATGGATTTGTGATTTTTTTTCCACATGATTAAAAAAAAAAGGCACGGAATTATTAAACGTCTCAAATTTCACATTATCTCTCTGTATAAATATCAAGATATTCTCTTTCCCACAGGTAGATATCGATAAGTAGCCTCCCCTTTCAGACATTGTGATTTGTAGAGCAGATGAAGTAAAGGTTATCTGTTTCTGTTGCCTACGGCTAACGAGAGTGTCATGTGGCCAGCACAACGACCAACGCTTTTGCTTTTCCCCAACTAATGCCAGGTACCCATTAGCGCTGGGTGGACCCAGAAGCGCCATAAAGTTTTCGAAATTAAAAATCCCAGTTTTTTAACAGGATTCCAACCCGGGACTCCTTGTTTCGGAAATGTAAGGCTTTACCACTCTGCCTTCGCGCCTACAGATATCAATAAGCTAATATTGAAATATTTAAAATAAAAACGTCATTTTTTTTTGTTGATTCTCTGTGGCATTTTCGGGTTGGAAACTTACATTTTTCTTGCTTCGAGGTGATGGAAAGTTCTAAGAAAGAATGCAAGTTATTAACCACTACATGAATTTCAAAGCGTGCTCCCAGCGCCATATTGGACAGGGGAGATAATGCAGCTGCACTGGTTGTCTTCCCTTGGTAACTCAGTATACGCTGTGTCATCTCCCTTGACGACGGACAGATGTCTAAAAAGAGGTCATTTCATTACATAACAAGCGTTCACAATGTCTTAAGCTCTTGCCTTTAGAAGTGAAAGAGTGCTCTTCTATTTTATTCTATTATGTAGTTGTGTCGTCTGGATGTAGGATGAACAGTCAGAAGTAGTCGAAAAAAGTGATGCGTGTCAGAATTAGTCGAAAAAAAGTAAATTTGCCCCAAATCAAACTAATTGGGTACTAATGTAGTAATTGGAAGGAGGATTTCTTCCTGTTTATATTGCTTATGGTTGACGAGGATATTATATGTCCACAATAAGTTCAACAACAAAGAGGCCTAGCTTTCACCAGCATCCAATGGAGTTCAGTGATTTAATTGCGTCATCAGTTCCAGTGTAGAATGGAGAGACTACACTAAGATTCAAATCTAGAAGTTTCTATTTATAAGCCGTGCCTTGACAGGAATTAAGAAAAAATGTTTACAGGAAGTCCGCATTAGAGGCATGCAAGTGTGACCTTGTTTTTTCGTCTAGGGTTGGTCTCTCGTCAGTCAAGTTATGTCCTGCAGACAAAAACATCGTCTGCTAAGAAGTCACGCTGCAAAAGATCACGTGATTAAGCTTCGCGTTTATCTGATTTTCGTTACACGTACTGTACATAAATAAAGGGAAGCAATATGAGACAAAAATAAGCGATTAATAGAGTTGTTTTTTTTTTAAAGGAAATTTTTGAAGAAATTCAACAGAAAATAATAATAAAGGTCGACTACTTTGTTTTCGAGGGAGAGCTTCTCTATGGATGCCTTCCTCTCTCCAACAACAGGCATAATCATCTACAGGGCCGGACTAAGAATAGTAGAAGCCCTTAAATTTAAAGAACTTCACTACATAAACGTACACTATGACCTGCAAGCTATTGTAAAAATGAACGCAAACTAAAACTCTTAGGCCATATTACAAGATCCTCGAGGCTCGCAAAGACCTTCCTTCAGGGAACAGTACCAGGAAAAAGAAGAGGCAGCCAGAAAACGCGATGGGAAGACAACATAAAAGAATGGATGGGCCTGCCTTGAAAGAGTAACAAGGTAAAAGACAGCGAGGAACGAAGAAAGACGGTCGACAAATCTTATGTGGTGACCCTACGGTCCAACAGACTAAAGAGATAGGTGAAGGTGAATACACGTGTATTTAGTCCTGCAGGCTTAGATTAACGCCTATTGGTCACTTAGTCTTTGACGCCGTAAGTATAAACCTAACCTTCACAGGTGACCTAAGCTCATGGACAGCAACAACCTAAATAGCTAAGCAGCTACGGACGTAAAAAAAGTAAAGTTCCCCCTTTCAGACCTTGCGATCTATAGAGCAGACGATGTAAAGGCCATCTATTTCTGTGGCCCACCATTAACGAGGGTGTCATGTGGCCAGCACAAAGACCAACCGCCTTCACTTTTCCCCAACTGATGTTAGGTACCCAATAGATCTGGTTAAGCTCTGGGGCGCCCTTAAGATCCCGAAATTTAAAAATCACAGGATTCGAACCCGGGAACCCTCGGTTCAGAAGCAACCCCCCGCCTCCAAGCAGCTACGTAATGTCGACTTTTTGTTCTCAAGTTGATGTTATAAATTAATATGTAGCCATGACTTGGACTCATTCTCTAAAAAAACGTAAAATATTTTTTGTTGGAGGTGTTAATCAGTAAGCCTTAGTCCAGCCTAATGCTTGAATATTGTTTTCCAGAGTAGTTTTAGCTTAGTGTACACTTGGTGCCCTTTTTTTTTTTTCTACACGATGCCCCAATCACACGCTCAACGTGCACAAAGATTACTCGACAGTGCGCCCCCTACCGTGAATCGTCACGCCAGCAATAGTGTCAGAGGAGATAATTCAGCTCTGATCGTGTTTGTCTAAATACCGCACTGTTTTCATAGAGATAGAGGAGTTCGGATCAGCATTTGTTTTGGAGATTGGTTGGAGCTGTGCAAGAGACGTTTTAAAGTCATTCCCACAAGAAATCACGTTCACACTTTCACAGAAGACCCACACACACACAAACGCTCACCCCGTCACTTACACACACACGCACACACACTTTGCAGTTCTATTCATTAAGCCCATGACCGATTATTGTTTGAAAAGTCTCGTATTTGACAGTCTACTTTCGGTTTTTGTTTGCTCTCGCATACAGCGCAGTCCTCTCCCTTTCATGTGATGCAATGTGAAAACAAGGGGAGTTCAATCTGAACCAAAGTTCAATCAGTCGATAGTTTTAATTGATTTTTTGTCTAATCCATGAACAGTGGTGACAAGCCTCTTTTATTTCAAGCTTTCAAACACAAGAAGCGATGTGTAACTTCAATGGGGAAAATTAAATTAAAAAAAAAATTACAACAAAAAATTCAAAGGTCTTCCACCGCGACTTTCTACTCACTAAATAAAAAGTAGGAAGCAAGGAATAACAGAAATTTTTTAATGAAAGAATAAAGAAGTTAATTTTAGTCTGCGAGCAATCGCTTTGATAAAAAAACAAACTTATTTTGTCCTTTCTATTCAAGGATTACGGTGTTTACATAATTTTTCAGCTCAAAGTTGTTCTGTCTATCCAATGATTACGGTGTTTACTAAATTTTTCAGCTCAAACTTGTCCTTAGATTGATTTGACTTTTATGTTTCGGTTTTCCTTCAGAAGTGAAACTGATTAGGTCTAAGCCCATACTTCTTGCAGGACGGCAGGGAGTGGCTGCAGGCTGGGTTCGAACTCGCGACTAGCCTGATGGTAGTCCGAAGCGCATACCACACGACCAGGGGCGGAGTGGCTTTATGGGCATTTGGGCCGGTACTTAAATGGGCCTAAAGGGCCTCATGAATGCCACTATTGCACGCATTAAATTGTTAAAGGTTTTATAATATTCTTATATACAAGGGGCTATATGAGCGTCATGTTCAAAATATTTTTTACAGACTACAGTGTAATACTAATTTAATCTAACACATTTTCAAAAATAATGTAATAGCCTACATCCGTAGACAGTGCTATTAGTAGGCTTCATCATTTTAGGATTTTAGCGATTAAAAAGCAACATTAGGCCTATATTTCTTATAAAGATATAGAGCATGCATACAGTTATTGATACATTATAAAATAATAACATAATGATTTTGAGAACAGATAGGCCTATAATAAAACCAGCTAAATATTTCGTAAACATTATCCAATAATTTATAATCATTTTTTAAGTAAAAAATATTCCATTATTCAGTTTTTTACTGAGAATACTATCACATGATACAATCACATGATACAATCACTCAGTTAAAAAAGATAAGATAATAAGGTATGATATTACTAACACAAATCAACTTTATACAGTTTAACGTCAATATGATACAATCAAACATCAAGATGATACAACCAAACATCAAGTTTATAGAATCCAACATCAACTTTATACAATCGTTAATCAAGATGATACAAACACACTCACACACAAAACGATCACACTTCACGATAATAAGGTCATACAGCACTATGATACAATCGCACATCAAGATGATGACCCTAGCCCTGAAAACTAACTATATTTCGATTCCATTTCTCAACATCCTGATTGGATTTCATATGAACATTTTACAGGGTACAGCATGCATTTGGAATGGTCATTTTGAGATGTTTTAAACTATACGATTGATTATTTTAGTAATATGTATTAATAGCTAATATTTTGTAAGTTGTATGGTTTTTTTTTGGGGGGGGGGGGGCTATTTAAAAAAATATATATAAATAAAGAGTAGATACTCAACTAATATCGTCCTTAGTCTCTGTATTGTCACAAATAATGTGAATAATTTACGGAGAAACATGACGTCATCCTAGCAAATTGGTTTAGAGAGTAATACGTTCTGAAATTCTAGCATGCCTATTTAGAGAGTTCTGCATTTAAATATTCTAAAACATTTGCTTAGAGAGTTATACAACTGAACAATTTAGCAAGTTTGCCAAGAGTCATAGCATAACGCAGTGGTACCCAACATAAATCGACCTGCGGGCCATTTTAATTTCCGACATTGGTGTCGCGGGCCACATAAAGGAAAGGTACAACCAATTTTAGTCATGGTACCAATCATCGGAGAAAAATTGAGGGCCCTAACGTCGGTAAGGAGACATTTTAAAACCTTTTCTTTAAGGGAAGGGGTAGCGGATTTTATATACTTTGTGCCGACTTTTCGGCGGGCCGGATGGAACCACGTCGCTGGCCGGATTTGGCCCGCGCGCCGTATTTTGGGCATCACTGGCACAACGCATTAAGATTTTCTGTCACATGCAATAACGTACACAATTTCTGGTCAGGTATGTACCTCTATATACCTTTTTTGTTGAAGTTACAGCCAGAGATAAAAGGCCGAGTCATCTGAGGAGCCACCTGCGTCTTAATTCCTCACAGACAAATGGATTTATTTAAACAAGCTTAGTGACTCAACACGTCCACAAGCTTGCATTTACTCAGGGGCTCAAATTGCATATTTGTCATTCCCAATGTTTTATTTTCACTCCATACAAATATATCTCAGAAACAAATATTGTTTAATGCTT